CCGACTAACCTGAGGTGCCAACACACGTATATTCATTTATTTCTTCGTCTGTGTAATTTTTTTTGATATCGAATCGAATTAATATTTGCACCCCCATTTGCATAGTGAGCTTCATAAGAAATTATTTCACTATTATTGAAAAAATCTAAAGAAAATGCAATTCCAAATTTTTTAAAATAATTTTAAATTAATTTAATTTTTAATACTCATCTATATTTATTATCAAAATAAATATGGATATTGTTTGACTTTAAACTAAAATAAATTTTAAGGCAACGATCACTAATTTATGTAAAAGAAACATTAATCCTACTAATCCTGAATATTTTTTATCCATAGTTTTATTCTATCATATAATAATTTTAATGACATCGAATCTTCTTAGGTTTCAAAATAAAAAATATTTTTAAATTGTGTTAATAATAAGTAAAAATAAATACTAAAACAAACATAATTTTCAATTAATTTTATTCTCTAATTTTGCTGAAAATCATGAATTGAGTGTTATATAAATTTTTATAAGTTTCTACATTATAATCTTACAAAGATTAAATTTAGACCCTATTCTAATTATCTTTTGAAATGTATTCTCATATTAAAATTTTTGTACCTTTTATTTATTTAATTATGTAATTCCAATTTAGATAATCTAAATAATTGCTATAATATTTTATTATTTTAATTATTAAAATATGGCTGTTCAATGCAACTTGTACATCCCTCTTTAATAGCTTTAAGTTCAATTTCAGTTGCAGTTACTTGGGAGATTGTCGATTTTCAAATAGTAATCAGAAAAGGGTGATAATATAACCATGACTTTAAGTGAATTGCTTCTATTTCTATTCATCTGTTGAAATCATAGGTTGAAGTGACAGCTTCGCCAATATATTATGAACAATATTCAACTAATTTGGTTGGAATGATGGTTTATTCTTTTATTGTGTTCATAAATCCACTTGATGGCTGGTGTCATAGCTGATTAAACTAGAACAGTTGTATTAACATATGCTTTGTAAATGAGATCAGATAGATATAAATCATCTGAAGAATCAACAATTGGTTAAGGTTGTGCTGGAGTCAATTGATTAGCTGAATGAGAAACTACCATGGAAACTCTAGGTGGTCAAGATTATCAGCCTTGACTATTTTAGTTTCTTAAACGTACTCTAATAATTTTTGAAAACCGTCAGAATTAATATTTTATGAAAGTGCCTAAATCATAGATTTTTCAGTAGGACAATAAAGTTTATCGACAACTCTTAAGAGTTGTTCACTCATATCACTGATCAATTTTTATAAATGATTTGATATGTCTTCAGGAACCAGTTCAAAGGGTTAGATCTGGACAGTCTTTGCCTTTAGGTATCTAATATTAGTTGCATCCAAGTCTCTGTTCTAAATCTAAGATAAGTATCTTTAGGGTAGATCAAGAGCACTAGATGAAGTATGTGACATATTTCTTAAAGCTTACACATCCATTGGAATTAAACCATAAGAGACATTCATTTTTGAATAGCAACTAAGACAATCTACTGAATAGTATTGATCTACTTAATCTTTAAGATTTTATTTATAGTGCTAAGGATGAATTTATATATATAAAAACAACAAATCCTATCTCTATTCTATCTTTAAGACAGTTTTAAATATAAGAGAATTTATAGACTTATATTCCAATAATTCAGGAGGTTACTGATGTTTAATAATAA